CTGCTTTTTGCTTTTGCTCTTTGCTGCACTCCCTGTCATTCACAATTCTCAATGGAGCTGTGCTTTATACCAGTCCACCTCTATATTCTACCCAGGGCTTCAAAAAAGAAAAATAAAAGTGGAGTGGTTATTGTGTATATAAAGCTTGCTCACATAAGTACACAGCTGAAGACATAAAGTCAGGTAAGTCTGGACTTGCTGTACTTTGTGATTTTGGCACTGACTGTGGCAATTACAAATTGTTTCTTGTAGGTACTTGTTCTGGTGCTGGAGCAGAAAAATTTATTCCTTAAACAAGTAGTAACCTGACTGAGGCAAATGAAAGCTGTATTCAGATACGGATTACTGAAACTGATTGCAATGTTTAAATCTCTGGCTAATGTTCAAGAGTCTTGAAATTGGCCAGCAGCGCTGGAGTGCTCTTGTATTCCAGGGAAACCATTGCCTGCTGTCAGGCAGGCAGGAACAAACTAGGGAGCTGCACATAGCGAACATATCACCAGGGCCATGGAGCCCACTTGGCCTTTGCCAGGGCTGGAAAATCTGAAAGAAGGGTGTGTTGGCATGGTTGTGTGGATGAGGGGGTAGGAGCTGCTTTCCTCACCACTACCAAATGCTGTCCCAGGCATGTCTAGGTCTCATGAAGGAGCCACAGCTGCCAAGGTTTTGCTTGCTGGCTCTTCAGCTGCTCACTCCTCTGTTTGTTCCCTTTGTTGCTAGCTGCTGCCAAACTGAAAGGGACCAGAAACCCAGGCTGGACTCTGCAGAGGATCAGGAGAGCCCAGACCTCTGGTAGCAGTCTTCTTGGCCAACACTGCTGAAAATACTTACCACTTTAAGAAGCTCTTCTGAGCTTCTGAAAAGCCATATTTGTACAGAGAAATAATTTGATCAGCCATGCTGCATGGATCCTGAGCCTTCCTTCGGCTCCAGCCCTTGTCCTTTCAGCCCCTATTATCTGGCTGTATTAAAAAGATCCATAAATATGTGGTAAATTGTTATCACCCTTTACAGGCAGTAGTGGATGGCAATTGGCAGCAGCTATCTCAGCATGACAGAGAGAGGCAAAATGTTTGTCTCTAAGCTATACTAAAACAGGCATCAGGTATAGCTACAGAAAACTTCTTTCCTAAGCTGAGAAACTTGTATGATTATAGAAATTAGAGCTGGGTTTTGTTGTTTGTTATTCTTTTTTTTTTTTTTTTTTTTTTTTTTTTTTTTTTTTTTTTTTTTTTTTTTTTTTTTTTTTTTTTTTTTTTTTTTTTTTTTTTTTTTTTTTTTTTTTTTTTTTTCTTCTCCATGCAGGACATGATAGGAAGAAAAGAATTCTGCACTTCAGGACAGATGCCAATGACTGACCTAAGCTGCCTTGCCTATGTACTAGAAGAATGGACTGTTGTGGAGTACCTGAAGAAATACCTTTTTTATGTGGTCATTGCCTCACTAGCAATGAGTGCAATGTTATTTTTTTTTATAGTTCCTTTAACAATTGTCTTTTTCATTTACCTTACCAATATTTTGCTTTTAATGTATCAGAGGAACAGTGAGATAAAAGCAGATCCCTTGAGTGATGTTTGGGATAGTGCAAGGAAAACTATAGCAAGCTTTTGGGATGTGTATGCAAGAATATGGCATGGTAAGTATAACATGACTTGTCTGAAGCTTTGAATTACCATAAGTAGTAAATACACATAAGTTTTAACTTATTTGGTTTTTGTTTCTTCCAAATAGATGCAAAGAAGTGACATTTATTATACTTTGTATGGCATCTAACCCAAAAGCTTCTGCCTCAAAGACTGATTGCAATTTAGAATAAGCAAACTGAAAGGAAGAATTTAATTTATATAGGGTCAACTTCTCTAAAGTGGATAGGCAGGTGCACTTCTCTATATACAGTATCAGAGTGAAGCACTGCAGGAGAGATGTGTGATTTATTTACCTTAGTAGGCACTTGCAACCCACATAATAAAAGACCAAAACACAACAACTAGTTGGAAATATAATTAGTGTATTTTTAGTTGGTGAAAACTACTTTGTGTATTGAAAATAAGAGCTATATGGACAAAGAAATGATGAGATGCCACATTTAAATTTGTATTCTGGTACAATTTAGAAGTGACCTGATTTTGCAGTTTCATTGCACTCATCCTTCAGATACTTTCAACACACCCTGCTCCCTAGGAAAATCCTCAGCTGCGTAATAAGCTCTTGTTCTTCCCACAGATGTAGGTTAAGGCTGTCAGCAAGACTTAACTTTGCTGCCCTAAGGATGAAGAGTAATGAGTTATCTATGTTGCTATCCTTCCTCACAGCTTCTTCCTTTAATCTTTGAATATCCTGCAGTACAAAACTTTCTCCACGTTTTCCTAGAATTCTGCCTACTCTGTTCCCTTCTTTCTCCCCCAGCAGCTCATGACAGAAGCAGGGATATAGACAAGGTGGAACAGAGCTCTTGGCAGAAGCTGTGGCTTTCCCAAACATTTATGTACATTAGCCTCCTAGCGTGGCTCCACATAAAACCTAAATCAAATGTCGGAAGAAGTCCATGTCTGTGAGGAAATTCCCTTCCACTGTGAAGTGAATATATTTAACTCTTTTGGAGAGAACCTGTCTTTGGGATTCTTACAGATTCTGGTTTGGACTTAAACATCTCAACCAGAGAAACTTGTAATTATGTAAAATCCTGAACTTTTCATTCTGCCTGACACAGGATGGAGATTCATACTTCCATATTTCAGGAAAGCATCCTGACTGCTTGTTTGCCTCTCATTCTGCTGATGAAGTGGTTTCACCCTTTGGACTGGGAAAAGTTCCATTAGGAAATAATTTAGTCCCCTCACTGGGGGAAGTGCCAGATTCAGGTCTGATCTAATGACTAAACTGACCAACAAATTAGTCCATTGACAACCTGTGGTGATTGAGGGGCTTTCTCTTTGCTACATAGCAAAAGTTCCATCCACAATTTAATTCTTGTAAAAGCTACTTCAGAGACTTTCACAACTCACTGAAAGTCATTTAATGAAAGACAGTAAAGAGTTTTCTTTAAATTGCTAGATGATTTACAGCTGTCATTGTCAGTATATTGCTTTCCATCCCAAACAGGTTATGAGCTTCATGGTGTGGAAAACCTACCAGAAGGACCAGGCATTCTGGTGTATTACCATGGAGCTATTCCTATAGACTACCTTTACTTCTTGTCCAGGCTGTTTCTCTGGAAGAAAAGACTTTGTCTGTCAGTAGCTGATCATTTTGTCTTTCGCTTACCAGGTAAAAATATACTTTCTTGTATTTAAGTACCCTGGATTCACTCAACTTGTTGCTAGTTTTGATGAAATTTACATTTATTACAGTTTCAAGACAGCTTTTAAACTAAAAGACTGCTTTTAGACTTTTAAAGTAAAAGCTGGTAGATGCAGAAGGACAAACAAAGTAGAATATCAAATATCCTGTCTTTTAAGTGAAAGGTCATAAAGACACTGGTAGACCCTCTGAAGCCAACAAATAGACATTATATAATCCCTTTGGGATGAAATGTCATGCCTCAGTAGTAAGTGTAGGGTAGGATTATATTAGTGACCTAGTGCTGGCTAGTCAGCAATGGGCTATGAGTACAGAAAAGCTCAGCAGGGTATCAATTACTTACTTGCCCCCTACACTGGGTAGCCATTGCAGTGGGATACAGCATTAAATCTATCTTTTGATCAAAGCCTGGACTAGGACACAAAACATCATTGAAGATATTACTGTTGAAGAGAGCTCTGTAACACCGACCACCACAATACATTCAACACATCATAGGCTGAGAAAGAAATAAATAATTCCGCTGTGAAAAGGAGAAGATACGGAAAAGCAAACCTCATACAGTTTTAGAAAAACAAGGCATAAAGAAGGAGCATTCAGAAGGAATAGCTGGGAGATTATTTAAAGGCACCTTTATGCCACTTATATTAAATGGAAGCTATTTAAAAGTGGAAGGACATTCTTCAGAAAAGGAAGTTGTGTCCAAACACTGAAAACAAAGAGTATAAACTCGAGCAAGTCTGATGCAAGAAAGGCATCTTAAGGCACTTAATGCCTTAACATCTTAAGGTATCTAAGGCACTCCTAGAAAGATGAAGAGGAAGAATTTGCTACAGGCATACTTGGTAAATACTGTACTAAAATATTTAAAAAGAAGGACTCGTGCAGAAATTGAAAAGGCTTTGCTTGGGTCACTCTAGATGCAAAAGTGGTATTATATGTTACCAGTCCTAGTTCTATGCTTACTGCATACAGGCTTCATTATAAAATGTAGCTTAGGAGTGTTTCTTGGCAAGTCTTCCAGACAGAAGAAAAGGTTGTGTGGTAAAGATTTCCTTTCCTTTTCCCACCACTGTCCTTGAGCACTATCTATGCATCTAGCTATAATGCACAAGTTTCGGTTGTATGGTTGGTGTTTTGATCATTATGGAATATAGCATGTGGAGGCACACGTTTATTGAGATGCTCCTAAGAAGCTGGTTCATCTTCATAACATTTGAGCAAAACTACTGTCACTTACTTGTCATTTTGCCAATATTTACACTGTAGGTGTTTCACTTCCTTCAAGCAAATTTGCCTTAGTCTTGCTAAGGCTATTAGATTTTCATTTAGCTGTAATCTTATTTCTACATGCAAGCAGTATTTGTGACATATTGTTATGATAATATTTATTTGCTATTTATGTATTGCAGGACTGAAATTATTACTGGGAGTGACAGGCGTTATGCCAGGTACAAGAGAGGAATGCCTCATTGCCCTGAAGAATGGATATTTGGTGTCCATCTCACCAGGTGGAGTCAGAGAAGCACTATTCAGTGATGAAAGTTATCAACTCATGTGGGGAAATCGAAAAGGCTTTGCTCGGGTCGCTCTAGACGCAAAAGTGGTGAGTATTATGTGTTACCAATCCTAGTTCTATGCTTACTGCATACACGCTTCATTATAAAATGTAGCTTAGGAATGTTTCTTGAAAAGTCTTCCATACAGAAGAAAAGGTTTTGGACTAAAGATTTATTTTCCTCTTCCCACCACTTTCCTTGAGCACATTAATTCATAGGAACAATGGTTTTATGGAACTATATAGCTTTATATCGGTATCCACTTTCTTGTCTTGACTGTATTTCAGGAATCTTCACTGTGGTCCTTCTCCATATTTCATTCTTTTTTCTCATACTACTAAAATATTTATCTTACTTTTAAATACCCAGTCATCTTCTCATGGCTCTTTAATTCATTATCCTTATCTTTCTTTCCTCTCATTTATTCTAGGAGGGTCCAAGATGTTGTCCTTACCTTTACCTTTCTTCATGTTTGTGAAAGATTGTAATCCACTAGCAGAAGATGTGTCTTCCTCAGAGTCTGAGTTTGAATCATGTGTGCATTTTTGAAGCAATATTTCCATCTCCCTCACTTACCATGCTTTAGTTCACATCATGGAACATGTTAGAATACCTTTTGGCTGGAACTAACCCAGAAGTGGGACCTCATACTCTCCACCTGCAAATGGGCATTCAGTCAATGGTACCAGGCAAGAATTAGTTCTACATAAAAACATAGCACTGAAATGTGTTCACTGGTGAACTGAAACGTGTTCAGTTCCTCAGTGTTCTCTAGAGATGTGCTTCTATTGGTTTGCACTCCACTAATGTACATGTGGCCACAGTTTCAGTTATATTTTCCATATGGATTATGATCTACAAATACAAACTTCTACCACTGGCTCTGACTTCTTCCGTCTAATTCCACACAGAATCACAGAATCAGCTAGGTTGGAAAAGATCATCAAGTCCAGCTGTTAACCCAAGACTGTGAGACTGCTTCTGTGATACAGCCTCTGGGAAATACTTTTATTTGGGATGGCATAGAGCTGAAAGAGCAGCAACCCTTCTTTGTCCTAACTGCCTTTTCTTGTCATTATCATCACTGGAGATGAGTTTCCTGTCTTAATTTAAACTTCGCGTACCTGTTATTCTTTGTGTCTGGCAATACCAGTACACATTCAGGCTTCTGTTCAGCCATGAGCTTTCTGCTGCTTTCTCATGAATCGCACAACTATCATTTTTATTTACAATCTTGAATTTCTTACCACCCCTTTCAGGTTTTTTGTGCAGTTATAGCTCACTCTTGCCCCATCCAATTTGTTGCTTCTCAAACTTTGCTTTGATCTCTTATGCTGTATTTCCTACTACAAAGTACCTAGGGTTGCAAGATGTACGCTTCAGATTAATAATTCTTCATGACTTTATCTAGTTCTGAAATCTGGTGGGGAGATAACTAAACACTAGAATAAATTTAGGGGAATTTTAGGCTGAGAGTCCTGTTTCTGCCTCTTTGTTTTTCTTGTTATGTGGCCTTTCAAAAGTCACATTTTATGTGGTTCTGTTCCCTCTCCTATCCTTTTTCTCAAAAGTGTGGGCTGGTAAATGTTAGTCACAACACTTCATATATTGTGTGGGCCTGTACACCACCACAACTAGGAGAATATCAGAATGTGAATAGGATAAACCCAGTCAAATTCATATGGGCATTTTGAATTCCCTTACAGTCATTCTTTTTATATATTAATTTAATAATATACTCAGTCAGAAAGAGGTGTTACTTTAACAACTTGAGTGATTTCTAACCATTTTGCTTTTATATCTGCCTCTCAAGCTATTTCAAATATTTGAACACTCTTTTACCAGATGTTTTTACTTCACTCGGAACTTTGTAGTGTAATTCTACAATGTAATAATGTTGTTTTTTTAATTTAAATAAAATTTGAATTAACTAACTCTGAATGCCCTTAATCAAAACACATCACAAAAATCCTCCCAGGCTTTCATAATTCAGAAGCACATGGAAATAGCTGAATAATTGTACCTAAAATTGCTAGCACCTACTGTTGACAGGTTTGTGGGTTTTTTGTTTTGATTTTTTTTTTTGTTCTTTTATGTCATGATTTGGGTATTCATTGAGGATAAGGTTCTTGCAGTGTGAAAGGTTCTTTGTATAAAATATTTGGTAAAACAGACACTGCATAGGATTATGTGTTACCCGAAGGGCAGAGAATATTTTCTCCTTTGACACCTACTAGCCTGAGCTCTCCCTTACAGTGCTGCTGGCTTTTGTGTTACTTATTATTGCAACTCATTCAGTTGGTTTTTTGTTTTTGTTTTTTTTGTGGTTTTGTTTGTTTGTTTGTTTGTTTAACTTAGATCAGGAAGCCTGACTGGATCCCACTATGGTGGGCATCACTGTAATTAGCTTGCAGGTTCTGCTGAATATTGGGCATCTTTCGTGGATATTTCTCTGGAAATCTGTGATCAGACACACCTTAGATAAATAAATGTTTAGTTAAATGCTGTGCATTTAACAGTAGAGGGGGCAATATTAACCTTATATGTCATTTCTTATACAAAGTGGCCCATAGTAGCAACTGGATTCCATCTTTTGACAAACATGGAGTTTCATACAATCACAGAATGGTTTGGGTTGGAAGGGACCTTAAAGCTCACCCAGTTCCAACTCCCTGCCCCAGGCAGAGACACCTTCCGCTAGACCAGGTTGCTCCAAGCCCCATCCAGCCCGGCCTTGGGATCGGGCAGCCACAGCTTCTCTGGGCAACCTGTGCGAGTGTCTCACAAACCCTCAGAGGAAAGATCTTCCTTTAATCTAAATTTACCCTCTGCCAGCTTAAAGCCATTCCCCTTTGTCCTATCCCTACATACCCTTGTAAAAAGTCCCTCTCCAGATTTCTTGTAGACCCCCTGTAGGTAGTGGAAGGCTGCTAGGTCTGCCTGTAGCCTTCTCTTCTCCAGGCTAGAACAAGCCCAGCTCTCTCAGCCTGCCTTCACTAGAGAGGTGCTCCAGCCCTCTGCTCATCTTCATGGCCTTCTCTGGGCTCTGATTGTTTGTTCTTGCTGTATTCTTTTCAATACTGGCCACATCAGTCTTGTAGGTTGACGAAAGACTGCAGATAAACGCATCTAAACTATCAGAACTGACACTGTATTAGAGTTTTTTATAACTTGTATGATATATATTTATTGCAGTATTGCAGACTGAAACATAAAATGAAGCTTGGCAGTTTCTCTGTCTAAAGCTCCCGTTATGTGCTCGGAATAGGAAAGTATTCAGTTCATGAAGCCTTGAAGAAAGCAAGTAGACATTTACGTTTGGCTCGTCTTACCTGCTTCTCAAAGTAAGGTCTCACTGGAGCAGCAATGTTTAGATAATACCCCACTGGAAAGAACTTGTGCGGATCTCTTCGACAAACATTTGTATGTCCTGGTTGACCTGGACTACATATGCCTTCTGGAGAGCAGAAGTTTAGGTAGTTACAGAACAAGTTCACTTCATTATTGTGACTGAAAGGAAAAACACTTGAGATGCCTGAACTTCAAACAGTCATGTCTTAGAGTCTGAGGTAAGATTTCATAGTTTGTAGACAAGATAACAGTAATTGTATCCATATGTACAATGACTTTTTCACCCTCTATTGTCCCTCATGTTTTTGAAACTTTATTTTAAGCATGTTGTTGGAATTACTTGTCCAGAAGGTAGTGAAAGAACATCTTTACTCTGTTAAGAATCAATACCACAGAACAGAAACCACAGGATGAGAAAAAAAAAAAAAACCAAACAAGCAAGAAAAAGACCTAACTAGAGCCTAACAAAGAACTCAGTGATGGAAACCATTTAAAGGAAAAAAACCCTGATATCCTTACAGATGGTGACTTTAACATCAATTTTTGTGGGAGCTGAGAAACAGAATTTTGTTTTTATTCTGGAGTTTATTTTTTTATAACAAGATTCTTTGGTACTTAACTGATTAATAATTCCCCTGTATTCAAGAGATTCTTAGCTGCGTTAACAGGCACTAAAACACGAATGTAAAGCTGATTTAACATTTCTACCTTTTGGGTTTTTTTATGACTCCTTAGCCCATCATTCCAATGTACACTCAAAATGTCCGGGAAGGATATAGGATGCTTAAAGAAAGAAGTAAGAATTTTAAAATATATTTTAAGTATTTGGAACATTTTCTCCACTTCTCTCTGATTTATTTCACTCTTCTCTTAGATTTTACTTTTCAGGCTTCTGCTTTCTCTGGATTCTCTAATACAGTTGGTGTGGCTCAAAGGTATCTCCAATAGCTTGTGTATAACTGGTTTGTGCTGTGTGATCTGGTTCTTTAATGCAGTATTATTTCAGTGATCTATTAAGTTTATTGAGCTTGTTTTGGTGGCCAGCTAACCTAAATCCTGCAATTTCTTCTTCACTGTCAGTCTTCCATATTAATCAGATTTCACATTTGGATGGTGTTTTATGTGACTATAATCTACTTTTTCCTCACTTAATCTATTTTTAGGGCTTTTTAGACGGTTGTATGAAAGCACTCGATTGCCATTTACTCCTCCATATGGAGGACTTCCAGTTAAATTTCGCACATACATTGGGGAGCCAATCCCTTACGATCCAAATATCACTACAGATGAATTAGTTGAAAAGGTAAGTTAAGTTAGCTGTCCTTGCAATATTGAACTATATACTTTGGTCTCTATTGTATATGCACTGAAAAACATTTTTTTTTAAATATGGTTGAATAAAGACAAATACACATTTACTAGCTTGTTAAAGCAATGGCCAGTTGAGCTCCAGGTTTGTTTGATATACAGTTACCTACAAGTAAGTATTGACATAGTAACCGATGACTGGGATGCCCTCATGCTTTCAGAATGTGTGAGCTCTATCTGCTTGGGATGCTAACTTTGTTTCTCCCGTGCCTTTTATAACTTTGGTAACTGAAATGTTGTAAAATACATTTTAGATTCAGTTTTCAGTAACTAGGAAAATAAATTTCATACATAACATGAATAACATGTTACTTAGAGAATCTTCTCTAAGTAACACAGGGCTCTAGAAAGAAATTTCAACAAGAGCTTCAGTCTCACTGTCAAAAGAAAAATGCTAAAAAAACCCCCCAAACAAACAAACAAACTGCTGTATCAAATATATTAAAATATTTTGAGTACCTATAGCTTGGTGAAATCAGTGGTGCCCAGGAGCATAAAAACTTTTATAGATCCAGAGTTTGAGCATTTTTCAAAATACTAATCTTTACAGAAAATGCACTTTTCAAAATTTTTCGTACAAGGTGAAAGGAGGATTTTGTGCAAAGAAAATCTGCTGTGGCCTAGAAATACAGAGATCAAAACACTTGTCAGGAATCATTGATGTAAAAACCACCTTGGTGCCCCCCAAAAGATGCAAGAAGGCTTCCTATATTTATTCTCCCCTCTCCCCCCCCCCCCAAAAGGATTTACTACAGATTATTCTGGGCTTCATAGCAGTGAAACCAGAAAGACAGGTTTGGTCCGTTGCAGGGGAAATGCCCCAGCAAGGTGTGGAGTTTGGTTTTAGCATGTTTAGGAGGCTGGAAGCAATATTTGTGCAAAGACTGCCCTTATGGTTATCCATGTTCTTGTATTTTGGAGAACAGTATTTTGTGCACCTGCAAAACTGAAACGGAAACTTCCCATGACATTGATTTGCTTAAGGAAGTCGAGCCTTTGACTACCCACTTAATGGGAGTACAGTTAGGTCTTCTGTGGCTCGTATTAGTTAAAACACCCCACAACTTAAATGGGGTCTTTGATAAGCAGTGGACTGGCTGACCTATATCTGATCCTGCCCTGGAAAGGACTCAGGACATGAATCTGGCAGGAAAGGTTTGGCTATTCTTTTCTTACCTTCCCACTGGTATTCTACCATCACTCTGGGGTAGATCACTGGAGTGTGTCCAGGTTTGATAAACCTCAGTAATTTCAGTCTATCCAAACTGCAGTCAATGTTTTTACTCCTTTCCCTTCCAAGGAAAGTGTCATTAGGACAACTAGGTAATATAAACCACAACTTTTTTCTTAAAACACTTCTTTCTTTTCTTACATGTTAATTTGCCAATGCCTCCTGAACCTCTAAGAAGTTGTCAGTGATTATTCTTCCTTGCACAAGCAGTTCTGTAAAGGCAACTTTCTCTTCTCTTCTCTTTTCAGACAAAGACTGCCATCCAGGCTCTCATAAGCAAGCATCAAACAATCCCAGGCAGCATATGGAAGGCTTTACTGGAGCGATTTGATAAACGTAAAAGTGATTAGAAGGCTTTTGTTTATTTCATTGTTCTTATAGCATACAGTAAAAAACAATGTCTCATGGGACTGATGACTAATAATTGGCATTCAACCAGTTTAATTTACAAGTTTCTGTAGATTTGACAGAAGAAAGCAATTAACCTCTTGAAGGTTCCCCTGTGTCTTTGAGGATATTCTGAAGTCAGACTGAAGAAGAAAAATTGTATCTAATAGCAATGCAACAGCTGAGTTCCCCCAAAGGAAATCACATAGCCAGGATTTGCCTGGTTCCTAAAACAAGTAAGTACGTACATCTGAGAGCCTCAGAAGTTTTGTGTAAATACATGCTTTTATGTTTTGAGTGGTTTATGGTCCATGTGCAGAGCAGAACCTCAGAGTCAGTGTTGTTCCACCAGAGTCCCCACCCTTGGTGGATACCTTCCCTGTTAGGCCCCGTGCAAGACAGTGTCAGAAGAGAAACTGTCTTGCTTTAGCTAATGACCTCCTGCTTAGGCCATTTTCTAGAGAGACTATACGAAGAGAAATAATCTCATTAAACCACTTACTAGTTTCTTACAAATGTATCAGTTTAGTGGTTTGATACACTGGAAAGTAGGAATGCCACCTCCAAGACTTTGTCCTGACAGGGAAAGAAGAAAAAAAAAAAGCCTCTCAAAGACATTAAAAAGCTTTAGTTAAGTGTAGCACTGTGGAAATACAAGTAGAGAGTAGTTTCAAGTCTGAGCTGGTACATTCATGTCTTATTTCACTATACACTACTGGTGTAGTGGATGAGGCTGCCCCCAGCCTGAGAATCCCTGCATCGCAGTGTGTTCGCAGTAGCGATGTGCTATACTCTCACGCAGCTCCCAGCGAGCAGGAGCGGGCTTGGGGGTAGCTTCCTTAGGTAATGCAGCCCTGAGGCTTATCGACGCCGCGGATTTGCCCAAAACGGCAGAACTGTAACACTGCCGTCCCCATAGGGATTGAATCTAAATGCCTATTTGGAAAGGTGCGGGCAACAGGCAGAGTTGTCTTCCTAGCACACAGCCTGCAGGATACTGAAACTTGCTACAAAGCAGAATGTGTTTTTACAAACTGTGAGTTGTTGTTACTGGTGGAAGTGGGAGAACTTTGTGTAATCTATCCAATATGCCATTAAATGCAACCAAATCTGTTAACCTCAAACAGCAAGAAAAGTAATTTTTGTGCCTCATTTTTCCTTCTTGTACTTTTAATACCTATATAATCTTTCCTCTCAATGTCCTAAAACTTTGTGTAGCATCTAAGGAATATATACAATGTTTGCCTATTTTCATTAGAAAACTAAATGTACTCTTTGGATTAACATAAATTCTTCCTCTTCCCATGCTGCTTCTCCTGAGATTTCTTGCACCGATGTGGCACTTAGGGACATGGTGTAGTGGTGGACACAGGGTGCTAGGGGCCGTGCTGCAACTCAGAACAGAGTACTAGCCTTGGATGGGTGATACATAACCAGAGCACTGATTATCTTCCCAAGCAGGGTTTCAGCTGGTTCTCTTTCTCAGACAGTTGCCAACTGTTAGTTAACAACATTCATGTTTTTCCTGTTTCGTTTTACAGCACCATCCCTGTATGATCTGCAGCTTAGATTAAGTGAGTTGGAATAAAAATTAACTTCTGTATTACTTACCTTCTGTCACAGTGCTAGTAAGAGTGTTGTCAGGGAGCTCAGGGCAACAACTTCCATTGCGAGGAGTTTCCGTAGTGTAGTGGTTATCACGTTCGCCTAACACGCGAAAGGTCCCCGGTTCGAAACCGGGCGGAAACACTAGTCTTTTTTTTCCCAGCAGATCAAATTCTGCACCTCCACTGTCGTGAGACCCCACTTGGAATAGTGTGTGCAGCTCTGCTGTCCTCAACGTAAGAAGGACATGGAGCTGTTGGAGCGAGTCCAGAGAAAAGCCACGAGGATTGCCACCTCCCATATGAACTGAGAAAGTTGGGGCTGTTCAGCCTGGAGAAGAGAAGGCTGCGTGGAGACCTCATAGCAGCCTTCCAATGTCTGAAGGGGGCCTACAAGGATGCTGGGGAGGGACTCTTCATTAGGGACTGTAGCGATAGCACAAGGGGTAACAGGTTCAAACTATCATCTTATTTTAGAGCCCCCCCTCTAAATTTTTAGAGCAGTATTATAGAAACTAGAGCTAGAAGCTTGTGTTCCTGAAAACAGAGTTTCTTCTCATACAAATGGCATTGCAGTTGCGGATCAAATCCCTCCCGTGCTGCGCGTATCTTCTCGCACTTCTGCGATAACAACACGTCAAGAGCCGCACACCGGCACCTCCGGGCGGG